TGAAATATATTGAGTCAATAAAATAGGCATATTTTATTGACTCAATATAACACATCTCTATTATATAATTGAAAGAATTTAAAATTTGTTATTGGTTGTGCTAAAATTTTAAATGATAATTTATTATAACATATTAAATTTATATTGATATCATTTTTTAATATTAAATGTAAAGTTTATTTATATAAATTTAATAATTTATTTTTAATATTTATTAAATCATATCAATTTTTCTATTTTTTAATTTCAACCATAATTTTAAAGATTCTTTCTCTAATTTTAAAAAGTTAAATATTTAATAAGAAAGTTAAATTTTTCCATTAATATTTGAATAATATATTTTGCTGGACATCTTTATTTCAGAATTTTCTAATAGTTTATTTTTATTTATTTTTTCATTTAAAAAAGAAAAAAAGATGTTTGTGTATTGCAGAAAGTCTTTTTAATTAAAACGGATTGATTTTTTTGAAAAAATATTTAGCCTAAATTAATTATAACAAAAGTTTAGATAATGATCTACTTTTGTCGAAAAAGATTCTCAACACTTTTTTTTAAATTACAAAAAAAAGAGAATAATATGATAACTTTTCTTATGATTGATGAATTAAAGATTAATTTTTCAATAATATAATGTCTTGCTTTTGCATTATTTAATTTTGGTTTAATCTTTCTATTTCTTTTTATTTTCAATACTGGTCTATTGTTAACGATTTTCTACCACTTAATATACACATTCATCTTCTTCATTTTCATTTTCTTAGATAGTTGACATTCTCGCTTACGATAAATCCATTGAATTATAATTGTTAGTAGAATCTGAAGGATGGTCAAAGTGTTAGGGATCAAAAACCTTAATATTATCAAGACTATCTAGAATATTCTGCTCGTTAAATAATTCAATAGGAGAACTTTCTTGTTGTTTGTAATTATTATTTGAAGAACATTTAGATAGTTTTGAATTTTGCAAACTTTATTGTAAACTCTTGATATATTTGATTTAAATATTAGTAATATCATTTAAAGGATTGTTTGATTAAGTTGAAAAATCCCTATCAATTAAATAGTTATTTTTCATTATTTTTATATTTGAATCAATATTATGAGATTGATTATCAGTTAAAAAGGGTTTATGATTTTATGAATGATTAATTATTTAATTTTCATTATCATTTGCATAAGAGGATTATAGCTTGTCAGTAATAAGTTTACTATTTGTGATATTTATTTAAAAGATTTAGGCTCGAAGCTTTTCTAATTGACTATTCATAGTTTCAATTTCGTTCTTATTAAGATGTTATAATCGGTTTGAAAGCTCTTTAATTTATTTATTAATAAAATTAGAGAGTTTTTCTTCTAATTGAGTTTGCAATTACAGAAATTATGAAGATGCATTTTGCTGATATTAAGTTTAATTTAGAATAATTTATTGCAAAAATTCTATTTGTTTATTTTGATGGTCTAATACTTTAAATATTTCTGATTTCTAGGTTTTAATTATGTTATCAATATAAGAGTAGATTGAATTGATATCATTTTTGGATATTAAGGATTAAGTTTAATTTTAATACACTGATTCGTATTAGTATTAATTGAATATTTAATCTTTGGATTGATTGGATGAAGTACTTTCTCTTTCTTTGGACACTTATCTGGAATTATTTTCATATGAGTTATAAGTATTTTATTTATGATGGTTTTATGATATGATCTAAACATAAGGAGGAATATTATTGGTGGGAGTGATTTATTTTAGTTATAATTTAATTTAATTTTATTCTAAACTGATTAATAAATTAATACATTAGACATTAACATTTACATTTCTATAAAGTGGACTAGAGGATGCAGGAGATAACCTTCTTGGTTAATACATTCAGGTAAATAATTAATTTTAATTTTGAAAAATAATTGTTAAAAATTAAATTATGAAATAATAATATTAATAGGATATTATGATGTTTAATATAACGTATATAGAGAATAAGTAAATTGATTAAAATACTATTATAAAGAAAATGATAGAACACATTGATTTTGAGATTTAAGTTTCTGATGTTCAATTTCTTTATTAATAGAAGAATAATGGGAATTCATAAAAAATATTTAATTTTATTGAAATAATCATTATAAATAATTATTACAATAGCCTTTTTTATTGATGCGTAATTAATTATTTTATTGATTACTTGATTTTATGATATTAACATTACGAACATAATTACGCAATTTTGAATTTAGTATGATATATTGTAAGATAATTACAATTATTTTAATTATTTAATAATTATTTAATGCTTGTGCATGAACAAAGTATATAAAATGAGTCTGCTGAATTGAAATAGTTGACATATGATGAAGCACTAACTCAGGTTGGAGGTGCTGGATTATATTAAAAAAGAGCATTTTTAATATTTGGATTATAGTGGATGATTACTAAGTATGTTACAAAATTCCACATTTTAGTTGGATATTGTTTTCACCAGTTTTCTTTTTTATTGAACCTACTGTTGATTGTAAGAATAATGTGGAATGTCTAAGTTAATGTACTTCTGAATCTTTAGATGAAAAGTGTCTAGCCTATGTTTGCGTACATTATTTGATCAATATAGGATGATTCTTAACGTAGAGAATATGTTGTTGGAGAATCATTAAATACAGCTTTTAATGCTCTTTTACCTTGCAACAAGTCTTTGCAATCCATAATTAAATCTATTGTTTATATTGGATCTTTGTCTGGATTTTTTGTATTCTCATTTATTGCTGATAATTATGGTCGTAAGTTAGCTTTATCTATTTCTTGGGGTATGACTACATTGGGATCACTATTACTTGCAGTATTGATTTAATTATATATAAGTTTGCCATGAATTATTCAATGATTGCTATAGGGATATTTTTATTAGGTTTTGGAGGAAACCCAGCAATTACAGTTCATTATTCATTTATTAATGAACATTCACGTAAATTATCTAATATATAAAATTTAGAGGGTCATTTTAGAGAAATTTAAAATGTTGGAGTCTAAGTCTTCTTTGCATTTGGTGAATTTACTATAATAACTTTGGCATATTTTGTGTCAAAATGGAGATGGTTAGCAATTTCAGTTGCATTACCCACTGTTCTATTAAATCTGTGTAATTTTTTGATTTTTGAATCTCCTCAATTTCTATATTCAAAAAATAAGAAGAAATGTGTCAAAGTTCTTAATTAGATTGCTAAAATTAATGGAACCTAGCCCCTTTCAATCAATGAGTTGGCTTCTAACCCATAAAGCAGGGAGAATAACTCTAGAGTTTATACAATCTGGGATTTATTGAAATATAAATCTCTTAGATATGTATTTTTAGCTGGAGTTATGATGTTCTTTGCTATTTAAGTTACATATTATGGGATTAGTTTTGTTAGTGATTAATTAGGCCTCGATTTCTTTCTAAGTAATTTCATTATTGCTTTCTTTGAACTCTTAGCTTATGCAACAACAGGTATATCATCATCATATTGTAAGATTTTTTTATTACTAAATTAAAAAGAAAGAAGAACATTATAGGAGGTTTTATTATTGTAGGAATTATGAGTCTGTATTTTATTTTTAAAAGTGATCACATTGTTTTCAGAATCTTTCAAGGAGTATTGGCAGGAGTATACTTTTAATATCATCATATTAGTTAATGAGATTTCTAATATGTGTTGTTTGGGCATTAGCATATGTTTATGTATCTGAACTGTTTCCCTCAGTTGTGAGATCTTTAGCTTTATGTTTGATATCAGCTGGAGGTTCAATTGGTAGCATTGCTTAAGCATTTCTAATAAATATTTGTTCTACCATAAATATTCATCCAATGGTTGCATTTGGTTTAATAGGATTTTTGTGCTCTTTACTTTTGTTTCCTTTGAGAGAGACTTTACATCAACCTCTTTTAGAAAAGATTGAAGAGGATGATAATAGAATAAGAAAGAGTATGCTACATATCAATGAATCAGAGGAAATCACAACATCTGTTCTTGATGATAATGTAGAATGATTATTTTTTTAATTTCTATTTGTTTAGTATTAAATAAGGAATGTTTTTAATATTTTCAATATTTTCTATTTTTAATATCTCCCAGAATATTATTTGGTTTAAATTATTGAGATCTTATCATTTATTATGAATTCAATCAAATTTACTATAATCTCCAAAACTAGGACTTGGAAGTAATTTACATTGATAAAGACTGGTAGATGTGGATCTATACTTTTGATAATTTAATTCGGAGAGTTAAATTTTAGAAGGTAAAGAAGACATAAGATATAAAAATGTTGGCTATAATAAGCTACTACTAAGTTCATATTTATTATTTCTTTATTCTTTTAGAATATGTTAATCAAACACATTTTTTAAGTACTCCTTTTTTTGAGTTCATAAAATTAATAGATATTTCTCATATTTAATTAATGTCTGAATTAAAATTTAAATTAATAAAAAATTCTGTTAAATAGTTAATAAATATTATAATTCAAAGAAATGAATGACAATGTATAAACTAGAGTAACAGGAATTTTTGAGAAATTGAACAACATTTAAAATTAAGTATAAGATGAGTATGAATTAATTATCATTAATAAATTATAGAAAAAATAGCAGATTTTCCATTATTGCTTAGTTAATTGGCCAGTTTGAATCTAATTTAAGAAATGCATCTTAATAAAAAGAAGCAATATTTAGTTAATTGGCAAATAAATTTAAAGAATTACAAGGATTCTTGGAAATTGAAAATGATAAGTATTAATAATTTGAAAATTAGTCGAGTGAGATAAGAATAAGAAACATAAAAAATGATTGTTGATTTAGAAAGACATGCAAAAAGATTATTAGAAACTAGTTAAAAAGAAAGAGTAGATTAAGAAAAGAAATTAACTTATGCAATTAGTTAATAAATAGATTTCATTTCTTAAGATGTTAATAGATAAGGTGTTGAACTATTAGAATCACATAAATATGTGGATATTTATTTAAATGAAGATTTACCTAAAATTGCTGATGATCTTTAAAATGAAATTGATGAAAGAAGAGAAGTTGAAGAAAGGATATACCATCAATTTATGGAATAAATTTCAGATCTAAGAGAATTATTTGATAGGTATTAATTAAATTATAATTTATTATAGAGAAAGAAAAGAAAGAGAAGCAAAAGAAGAAGACATAGTTGAAAATTTAAGAGAAGTTTAATTTAGAATTACAGAATTATTGAAAAGAAATAGAAAAGAAAGAGAAACTACTGAATAAGAAATGGTATCTTTAGTAGAGACTGTAATTGAAAAAATTAAGATTGAAATGTTAGAAATGAATATGTGAAGTTTATTCATTGAATAAATGATATATTCTTTAATATCTATCAATAATATCATCTTCCTGACCATGAAGCAACTTATTTCTTGAACATGATGATAACTTCATCCAAAATAGCATTTTCTTCATTTCTCTTTGCCTTTGCTTCTTCATAATCAGCTCTCTTTGCTTCTAAATCAGCTTATGCTTAATCTAAGGCATCTTGTGATTCTTATAATATAATCTTAGATTTAGCTTATTAGGCCAAAGCAGCTTGGATTTACTAATTTAATTAATAATCTATACAGTAGCAGTTCTATCAGCAAATACTTATTTTCTTTCATATTCTACTTCCAAACTTGTGATTTCAGCTTCAGATAATGAAACCCATCCAGCTAATTCCCAAGATGCATTAATTTCATTTTATTTCAAATTCTCCAATGATGCTTCTAATTCACTTTCTAATCCTTCAAGAACTGCCAAGACTTTTTCAGCCAATGTTGATCCATTTCCAGATGATTATTCCTTCAATACTTCAATAATTTACTTATTATTCTTAAGCTAAAGCTAAGAATGATTTGATTTGATGTTCTTAGAACAAATTGCTATATTATTTTAATTTTTCAGCAACTGATTATGCTTTTACTTATGTAAATTCAAATGAATCTCCATTTATAATATAACCAGCAACATCTTATTTAAGAAGTTTGATAACTTCAAGGGCTTCTTGGTTGTGTTTAATTGATTTAACAAATAATTGATTGCTGAAGCATTAATTATCTTATAATGTTTCAATTTTAGCTGCAATTGAATCTCTTCGAGCTTCATTCCAAGCTAAATAATTTTTGGTTTATTATAAGACTTATTCATATTCAGCTCTATTTTCAACGGCTTGTTAGAATAATTTTTAATTCAAGGCTTTGATTTTGGTGAATTATTCAATTGTTCTAATATTTAATTTATTATATTTACTAAGCACCAATCCATTCATCTGTTTCATTCTTTTAATCTGCAGCAAATTAAGCATCAATATTTGATTATTTCAAATCATTTAACAATCCAAACACTGTATCAATAGCATCACTTGCTTTAGTTCCAGTCTATTTGAATAAATAATTCAACTTACTTATAAAAGTGCTAAGATTTAATCTTAAGTTTTTGATGCATAGGTTGTTGCTGCTAAGGCAAATAATACAACAATCATGTATTTCATTTCTGAAAACTTAATATTAAAAAACGATTAATATTAAAAACGAATTAATTGTAAAATCTATAATTATTTTCTTAATTCTATAATATATTATAATTGATTGATTGATTCATTTTATTTGATACACATTTTATTAAATGTAATTAAATTTGCATATTTAATTAAATTTGCAAATTTTACTATAATTAATAATTATTAGATAATGAGATTTATTATAATTAATTTTCCTATAAAAATTGAACTCTTTAAATATATTTATTGTATTTATTAAAAGAATTATAAACGGTTAAATAATTATAATGATTATAATTAAAAATTAAAAATAAAATAGTGTAATATTTTTATTCTTTATTTAACTGATTCCAAAAGTATCCATAATAATTGATTGAAATAAATTAAGAATAAAACTAGTTTTGAAATTGAAAATAACATAAATTAAAAATAAACTATTTTCATTAAATGTTGCTTTTTTATTAATAATTATTATTTTCTGTCATTAATGTGTTATAAAAATAATACACTAATTAAGTAATATAAAATTTAATTCATTCGAAATAACAATAAATTAATTCATAATATAAAACACTAAATCTTAATTATCTATTATAATGAATCAAAATGATCTATATCTAATTGAAGGATTAAACTTTATCAAAGGCAGAAAGACTCAAATTTACATCATTCCAGAGCCCTTAGGATTCAAACTATTAGTATTTATTAACTTTAATTTTTAGGACCCATTGAATTTGAGTTTCAAATTATTAGTATATTGGAGTGATGAAAGTGTAATATTAGATTGGAATGATTACATTGAAGGAACTTGCTCTAATGGATTATACTTTAGACTCATTTATTAAGGTGAAGAATACAAAATAGAGGGTACTGCTGAATAACTGGACTAGTTGTATAACTTTTGTTCTGGAAAGTTCATTTTTAAAAAAAGTAATATCTTTATATAGAATTCGGTCATAGAGACAAATTCATAATATTAAGTATATAAATATGTTAAGTAAAGCTGTCCCTTATAAAAAATATCAAAGAAAATAAACGGTATATTGAGAAAAGAATATTTTCAAGCTTTATTTCTCCAAGGATGGAGATGTCAAATTCATTTAATACTTAATTTGAGTAAGACAGAATACCAGAGGAGGTGAGGATCATCTAATTATTGAATTCTTAGAAATGTCCTTACATTATGAAAATTGAATCAATCACTTTTGATGGTGATTACTATTCTTTAATCTACACAAACAAAAATTTAATATCTTTAAAGTAGATTTTAAAAATACAAAAAATGGGTTTGCCTCTTTCTTTTGTAATTGAGATTTTAGAATAATTGTTAATTGGTATGATATAATTTTATTTTTAGTGTTAAACATTTTCCATGAGCTTCAAATAATTCATAATGGTATTAACTTGGAAATGATTAATTATTCCTTAGAATCTAATTAAATTGTAATTAGTAATTTTTCTCCATCCACTTTTGAATGTAATAAAGAAATACCAATGTAAATAATTATCATAAATTTTAGAAAGGGGAATACTATAGGTTTTATTCCTCCTGAGTATTTATCAAATAAATACCTGATTTCACCTTTAGCTAACATATTCCAATTAGGCACACTTTTATATCATCTGTAATTATAGTTATTCATATCATTAGGTTATTTAATCAAAATCCTTTTGGTAATGACCCATAAACCAAGCTTTAAAACAATATTTTGGGTAAATATAATATCCAAAATACAAATATTGATAAGAATATCATTGACTTACTAAAATCTATGATGCAAACAAATCCTCAAAAGAGAAAAACACCTAAAGAATATTTGTGCTCAAAGATTTTTAAACCTTAATATCGATCTAAGATTTCTAAAAATTCATTCTTATCGTTTCTTCTCGATAATCATCTTTCGAAAATCGAAGAATTTGAAGTGGAGAATGAAAATCCTATCATTCAAAACATTAAATCTCTATCTATTAATAAAAAAAAGAATTGATATTTGATATATAATTTGTGTTAGAAAGTGGCGATATTATCATAATTAAATATAAATTGAACACAATTTATAAATACAAGCATCACTTGAATATCTTTCTTTCAATAAATTACAGTTTTAATTCTGATTCGAATTATAATTATTCTATCAATAAAGAATAATTCTAAAAATATTATTTTACTAAGCTGAAATGATAATTATAAATATATAGGTCTAAAATCCATTAGAAATTAAGGTGAAATCACTTTGTTTTTAATAATAGTACCAATCAACAATAATTATTAATTAGATAATCCTTATAAATTTATTACAATTAATTTATAAATAATAAATATAATTAAGTAATTTAATATTTCAATTTAATATAATTTTATATTAAGATCTAAATATCACTAATTTATATTAATTTGATAATTCAAATTAAATGTGTTAATATGCCTTCTTTCCATATTCCTTTAATAATTTATCCATTAATTGTAGAATAAACTCCTTCTCCATCAATCATACCATCATTAAATGTACCTTCAAATTTTTCTCCATTTGTTAAATAAAGTGTACCAATCCCATAAAACTTCCCTTCCTAAAATTCACCTTTGAAATATTATCATAAATTACCTTCATATCCTAGCCAACCATTTTCAATTCCGCTCAAATCCTAATAATCAAATGCTCCATCAATTTATTCTGCTTAGAAATTTATTAATTTGCCTTATCCATGATATTAATTATCATGCCAATAACCTTTGTATACTTTATTATCATTTTCATCAGTCAATATTCCAAATCCTTCTTTTGTAGCTGGTTCATATCCCTAACCTCTATATATATATCCATCTGCATATTAAAGTGCAAGTTCTTATAATTATTATTCTTAATCATTATTATAGGAAATTTACGATTGCTATTATGAATTTTAATTGCTTTAAACTAAATTATCATGCTAAGAATCACTTTAAATTTCATAATCAAATAAATCTGCCAAAAATTTATTGTGTTTTTTATTTGAAAGTATCCATTTTTATTACTCTATATCTTAATAAGGAATTTTTGATGATTAATTTACATCATAATCAGCAATTTATTATGATTAATTTTCATCATAATAAAGAATTTATTATGATTAATTTACATCATAATAAGGAATTTATTATGATTAATTAACATCATAATAAGAAATTTATTATGATTAATTTTCATCATAATAAGAAATTTATTATGATTAATTTTCATCATAATAAGGAATTTATTATAATTATTTGATTGGTATTTATGGATTTAAATTTCTTTAAAGTAAATTTCTTGTTCTATCAACAGCATTCTAAAATTTCTTTTCTAAATCCTATTCTATTTAATCAAATAAAAGCACATATTATTATTTTGGTAATGATTATTCAAGAGGTCTCTATTCTAGCGCTTATTGAAGTTTTGGTTAATTTTGTGGTTGTATATTTTATTTTTTTATGGATTATTAAATTAATTATGAATATTTTGATGAAAGAATTTAGGGAGGTTGTTATTATGGTTGTCTTGATTGAATAATTGGACCAGGATAATATTCTTGAATTGATGATTTTAGACTATGCAGTGATGATTTGTAAAAGGTTTATTGATTTGCCATTTCTAAGTGAATATAATTTTAATTATTCTAGGTTTTTTTATTTTATTGTATTTTATTTAAAATTAATTAAAAAAAGTTACAAAATATATTCAATAGATATAATTATATAATCAAAAACCGTAGTCAAAACATTCTTTTGTTTATTATCCATTCTTTATGATCTCTTATTTCTTACCTGCAAATGGAATTCTATGTAACCAATCAGACGGAACTCCCTTATAGTTTTTAGGATCCAATTCTATTGGATCTAATTATTATAAATAATTTGGAGGTGGATTTCTATTTATTATAATCTATTATACTTATCATCAAATTATTTCACTTATTATAGTTCAGCAGTAATTTAATTCTTCTACTCTTATTTAGGTGATTGTTTCAATAAGGAAGGATTTATTTCATTAACTTTGCAAGTTAATCGATTTGCTTTTTCTTTTTTCTACTTCATTTCTTCAATAAACTTATTACTTGCCTTATCAAGGATAGCTAAATGATCATCAATTTTTAAATTTGACTCTGATTAGATTTATACCTTTTTATCTAATTTTTTTTTTGAATCCTTTGTTTTCTAATCATTACTTATTTTTGATTTATTCTCATTTAATGACTTCTATGTTCTATTATCTAAAACTGATTATGGTCTCTTTATTTTCTATTGATTTTTCTAATTCTCTTACAGATGTGATTCACCTTATACACTACCTGCTTCAGAAGCAAATCGTAGAGTATTACTCAAATCAGGTTTCTTTATGCTGAATTCAGGTATTACTTATTTACCTTTTGAATCTAATTATTTCTTTAATTCTTAATAAGGTTATAGAGTCAAAGGATTCCTTGATTTTAAGGCTTTTACTTATTCTGGATTTAATCTATCCTCTTCTCTACAATTTCTAGGTGGTTCTGGTTCTACATTAGCAATAGCAGCTCCTTTTCTTAATGCATTCTAATAAGTCTAAATGTAAAATGGGTCATTTTTATTTCTATGTGGTTAAACATTATGTGATAAGAGATGTTAACCATATATTATTCCACCAACTGCAGGATTGACATTATTATATCCATAAGGACCCCATGCAGGTTTACCAAAATATGTTGTAAATGCTGAATCAGCTATCCAACGAGTTTCACCTTAAAATTTCTTTATTCTTTCCTTTCTTCTTTTTAATTTTTCAGCATCTTCTGGATTATTTGGATCTAAAGTCTTTGCTTTTTTAATAAATTTAGTTGTCATTTTTTTATTTTAATCATCATTCTATTAATCATTAACATCTTCTTCTTCTTCATCAGAACTTACAATATCTTCTTCTTCTTTTTTAGATTCCTCATAATAGAATCCACTTTATGGATGTGATACTTTGTATTATCCTTTAAAATTTTAATTGTTTTGTTCCAATTAATACATAAGTTCATTTTAATCTTTAATATCTTTTACTTAATAGTTATCTCTATATGCAGATTATTATTTTGGATTCCATTTTAAAGGTAATTTATATTAATTATCTAAATCTTCTTATTATTAATATTATTAATGTTAATTTGTTTATTATGATTTTATAAGTTAACATTCACAAGATTTAGCAATATTTTTGATTGTTTTTTCATCTAATTCTATAAATTTTGTTAAAATTATATTTACTTTAAACATAAATTTAAGAATCATCAACTTTTAATTTTTCAATTTTTCTAAAATTATCTTTATTTTCAGTTTGCCAATGTTAATTTTCATGATTAATTCTTGTTGTAACTTTTTTAGTCTCTGGTTCTTTTTCAACTTATATTTTCTTTTTAAAATCCCAAGGTTCATCTTATTATAAAGGCCATTTCATAATATCAAACATATTTGGTTCTTCATTTCTTGGCTTATTCTTTTTACCAAATATTTTATTATCATCTAGTTATAATTATTTAATACTTTCATATACTTATTTGAGCACTTAGTCTTTACTTTTCATATGACTGTTAAATTGATATTTAATAAATAAATAAAATTTAATATTATTATTATGTAAAAAACTTTAAAGAAACAAAATAATTCATTATTAATCAACATCATCATCACTTTATAATTTGACTTCATTATCTATTTATTATTATATTTAATTTTCAACAATTTCATCTTATCTTATAGTTTCTATTTATGATTCTTCATTAAGTTAAGGAATTTCAGGCAATTCTTATTTAGTTTAATTCTTATCATCTTATTATTATTATTTTTCTTCTAATTGTAAAAGTTCTTTTAAAGTAGATTCATCTTCTTAATTTAATAAATAATTGATTTTATCTAATTCAGAAGCATCAATTGATTTATTTTTCACACTAATATTTAAATATATATCTATATATACTTGAGTATTGGTTATAACTACATTTTTTCTTTTTTTTTACAGGATATTTAACTATGATTTGTTGTATCACGATTAGATTAAGTTAAATTATTTCTAATATAGATTTAAGATAATTACCTAATTGAATTAACATATTATTAACATTATTGATATCTTTAAAGTCTTTACATTAATCTTTTATTTTCCTTATATTAATGAGAATATTCATCCAATTTTAATACAGGTTCTTATTTCATAAGTCTATCAGCTAATTTAATATTTTCATGTTAAATTTATTAAGCTTAGAGTTTGCGAAATGTTAAATTTAAATTATGAGGGTGATGTAAATTTTCATCTTCATATTTATAGTATTCTTATTACATTGGCCTATTGCAGATTTCTGTTATTTTATAATATAATTAACTGTTTCCCTTATTGATTCTTTCTGATTATTCTAAATTTATTAAAATCTTCATGAAAATATACCACTTAAATCAAAACGTCTTCTTTATTGTCTAATATTATTTCTCTTTTCTAAATTTTCTATATGTTATACTCTTGATTATGAATGAGATTTTTTGCTTTTAATTTCATTCAATTTTTTTAAATGAAGATCATAAGACCTAATAAATATAGATATAAATAATTACTTTTCTCTAGAAAATATTTAGTCTAATTTATAATTATAATTGTATTAATGATTAGTTCTCATTAATTAAAATAAATAATTAATATAATGTCACAACCATCCGACACTAAACAATCAATTCATAGTGGTAGAATGATTCTTCATCCATCATTAAAATTAGATAAATCAGCAGCATTTTTTAAAGATACAAAAGTTAGTTCATGTTCTTATGTGAAAATGAACAAAGGAAATCCTGAAGTAATAAATAATAATATTATAAAAGGCTATTCCATTTTATGAAATTGCAAACAAAACTCCAGCAGAACATGAAACTAAATCTACATACACAACTTCAACATATGCGTAATTTATTCATTTATAATTTAAAGAGATTATTATAAAGTAAAACCTTATTTACATGTTGGTTCAACTAATAAATTATTGGAACCATATAATACAGGTTCATTTAGATCTAGATTACCAGAACCTGATGCTCCAATTCTTACTAAAAATGCATCTTAAGTAGAATTAGGAGAAAGACAGTATTCAGTGATAATAAATTTAGTTTTAATGTTAAAAGACACTTTCTAAGTACAGCACATAATGTTTATGGAAATTTTGGTAAATTTGGTAATGTAACAAATCCAGGAATCTTATCAGAGAAAACTAAATGGCATCACCATTTATAATAAAAATGATAAGATAATATGTATAATCATTAATTAATATTATTATCTTTAAGATTTTATAGATATTTAATTTATAATGTATTTATGTAAATTTTTTATTTGTCATTTTTCTTATTATTTTATTATAGTATTCTAACTTTAAGGTTTATTCTATTATTTAATTATCATTATTTTCAATTATTTAATTATGAGTAGAATTATGATATAGATTATTATAATAATAAATAAATGAATTTATAGAATCCAAATAAATTAAAATGGTAACAATAATACATTCGAAAATACAGAGATCTTTTGGGAATATCAAAGTATTATCTAAACGAAGACAATTAGTCTTAGGATTTAAGAAATTTAACCAATGGAGAATCAGATAAATCCAATTTATTTAGATCATATAGATAGAGTATCAAAAAAGAGATCAAAATCAATGAAATATAATGATGAAAGTTTTCAAAGTAGAAATAGTTCATATTGTGTAAATAGAAAATTATCAGAAATGAATTAAACTAAAATATATTCAGCAGCTGAGATGAATTAAATAATAAAACATGCAAAACTTTGTGGGATGTTAGATAATAATTAATAAGTATTGTTAAATTAATTATAGCATTAATAATAATTATTAGAATAAAATAGAAAACATTTTGAAGAAGTTAGAAATCTATAGAAAAGTTGGCATTACTATAAGATTAGATAAGAAGAATAAAACTAAAAATTCAATAGAATTCCTATGGAATAACATTATTAATTGAAATAAAATAATAAAAGGAGAGATATTAATATATAAAGATTGATATAAGAATAGAAAAGTGTATTCTTAACTCACAATACATAAACAATCAAATAGTAGGATTTGATATATCTTTTATCTGAATAAATTTAATTATGAGTACAGTAAATTCTAAAATATGAATATTAATATATAAATTTAACATGATAAATAGGAAAACAAATCTATCCTATCTAACCAAAAATTTGTTTAATCAAGATTATGATTAATCAACTATATTTTAATCTCCTTTGAAATCACCTGATAAATCTAAGTAATTTCTAAATTAGTCTCCAATGAAATATGATAGTATTGATAATTTAATGGAAAGTTAAAATATTATCAAGACTTAAAGACCTTCAGAATTTAATCTAAAAAGAATGCTATCTAAAATAGATGATATTGAAAATGTTTAGGATACATAAAAACCACAAATAACAATTCGTTTTAGAAGAAATGATCATTTTTAATCTTAACCATTACTTAAAATTGATGTTAAAAATGATCTTGATGACTTTTTTAATAATAATGATGATTAGTATATTAAAAAACAATAATCAAAAATTAAAGAAAGCAAATTATATCAATTAATAACATTTACTGATTATGTAGAAAACTTATATGGCAAAGATTGGTTTAATACTCCTATAAGAAAACCTCGTAGATAAAATACAATTCAAGAATTCTTTGATACTCTTGAATGATTTTTAATAAACTAATTTATATTTTATATCAATATTTTCATCTTTTATAATTATGAAGAAGTCTTCATCTCAAAGAATACTTGTTACATAAGATGAATTTTTAAGAATTCAATCCTATGTCAATAAATCAATTTAATCTCATTCTAAACTAAAAATCAAACCAAAATCAATACCTTAATAATGTTAATTCAAACCAGAAGTATAAATACTTATATTCATAGATAAACAAATAATCAATTAATTTATAAAGAACAATAAATGATCTTTATAAATGGAATCTAAATAAATTATAAAAAATTAACTAAATAAAAGAAGAAGAAGTAATTATATATCATTTATCTAGATAAGAGAAATCTAAAATAATGCTAATAGATTAAATCATCAAATCACTTCTTCCTCTGTCTTTAATAGACTCTATCAAACCAGGAAAACTAGTGCCTATACTATTTGTAATTAGATATATTATATTAGAATAATCCAAAAGAAACACTCATCAAGATTAACCCTATTATACTAAAAACATGACTAAATCTATGTATTAAGAATATCAAAGATAATTCTAACATATCGATAATAATATATAATCTAAATCTAAAACATAAATAACTGAATAATCTTAAATGCAAACACCTATTTAATATGATCTTGATTAAGAATTACCTCTTTCAATTAATAATGTAATAAATCTATATTTATAACTAAAAGATGAAAATATCAGTTCCAATACATTAATATTTTGATCTTAATAAATAAATTCAGAATTCATCAGATCAATCCAATTTGTAAGAGAAAGATATTGAAGTTATGGTTGAAAAGTATGATAAAATTATAATCTAGATTGAATAATTGGTAAGCTAAAAAACTAGAAAGAGAATTATTTATTGCTTAAGAATACAAAAATTAATAAATATCTGGTCATTCGTAGAATCAACCAAAGAATTATTCGAATATATTTTTAAATATATGATTTGTTTTATCATTTATTACTATCATTTAATATCACTAATTATCATATGAGATTCAATAATTCTATTTATTGTTTCTTATTTATAACAAATATAATATTAAGTATTCATTTTTATTATATTTCATTAAAATAACATTAATTTATATTAAATTGTATTCAAATCAAATTATTAACCATTAAACAACCAATCAGAAATATACTCTTCAAAGAAATTATTTATATCAATTAATAATATAGATATAATGTTAACGTACTTAAAATTCAATTTTATTTATAAATTTAATAATTATCAATTTTACAGAAAATACTTTATTTTCAATTGCTTAAGTTTTAATACAATTTCATTTTTGTATTTCTTCAAAGTTATTGATAATAATAATATTTGTATTATATTTGACTAACAACAATAATAATTATTTTATTATAGACGATTATGAATTAATTGAATAATGAAAAAATCAAACAAAGAGTATTTCTCAAACAATTAAAATATAAAAAGAAATTGATATTTAAATAAAGATTACATAATATTTAATAGATCTAAATAAATGATGAGAATATCATAATAAATATATTTTTATGGATATCATAATAAAATGAAATTATTTTAGAGATTTAAAATAGTATTCAATATAAATGAAATTACAAAATATCAAGTTTGGTGTATGAAAGTAGGACTTCTTTTATGTTATTTTTAGAACTAATATATCTATTTATTTTACATCTCTTATAAATTATGTTAAATGTTTTGATTATCTAATCATATTATTATATTATGATTGTTTTTATCGATATTATTCTTAGATATATTATTCTTGAATATACTCTTAAGTTTCTGCTTATAAATCTGTAAATCTTTTATTTGGAGGAATAAACCACTTATTATATTGATTAGATCTTTTTGGTGATTGTCGTTTATCAGTCTTGATCTTCAATTATAATTCACTTTAAGATTTAGGTAAGCTATGTAAACTATAAAGTGAACTGGCTCTTCTATTCTTATATTTATTATCAGGTTAAGTTGTTTCATGTTAAGGAGTTGAATCATTAGCATTTGTATGAACAATTTTATCAATCCATCTATGTTCATCAAAATTATTAATTTTTTGTTTAGGAATCAAAACAGGAGGTAGTATTGTTAATTATTTAGATTTTAATCTAGAAATCAATCTAGTATGAATTGATTCAGAATTATTCTCATTTTAATTCATATAAAATGTTATTATTAAATAAAATTTGAATAGTGCAATTAATATATCACTTATAATAATGATTGATTATAATATAAAGTTCAAGTTCATTATAATATAATAAATTTTTTATATAAGGTGAAATATTATTGAAATATTAAAGAAATATTGCTAGATTAGTTAATTATTGAAATATTTCCATTTATATTTTGATAATAATATAGAGAAATTTTTACTTTAGTATTAAATGTATAGGAATTAATTTTTTATAAAATTAAATAAAATGGTTATTAAAAAGGTCTTTGAAGATTTTTATCGTGAAAACTTTTTAATGATAAGAGATAGCTTTTATAGGAATTAGTATTTTAGTTTTGGATTGATATTGTTTTAAACCTTTTAGATATAGGGAATATTTCTTAGCGAAAATAATTTTGAACCATAAAAAGATGAAAAGAAAAGAGGAATAATGGATGCAATAATTTGGATTTTAAAAGCATCAAAGTAATTATTGAAATTAGAATATTAGAATATATCCTATATTTCAATCTGAAACAAACTTAAGTCAAATATATTTTATAGATGTTTGTTTCTTAATTATTCTAATTGTGATTTCTCTTATTAATTTAATTCTTGTATTTAAAAATAATAGTTAACAGAAATAATCAAATTAGAAAATAAATGGATTATTTTCTTTAAAATTTTCAGATTTCCCCATTAAAGTATATAAATTTTATTAATATGTATAGTTGTAAACTAAATAATATTTTCATGTAAATTTTATCAAATACATAACTAATACAATATCATTCTTTTTGTAAACATATAAATATGTGTTCCATTGGATAACAATTTATTGTTCATTAAATATTTTTTACAGTTATATTGCAGATGATCAATAAGCTAATCAAAGTAAGTTCAAATTTTAAATTAGATTGGATTTATACATAAGGTATAATTGCTTCAATATTTGTCTTTTTATTTTTTCTATTCCTTGATATTTTTATAATGTTTCATTGTTTTGATTATAAATTTAAAAATAAAGATTATTTAGGAAAAAAAGAAACTGGATTAGAATTATTATAAAATATCTACATCTATGCATGCATAATTATTATAATATTTACTAAACAATAATACCCAAATTTACAATTATTATTAGGACTTTTTTGTAATTTGTTTTTATTACTTTTAAGTACTCTATAAATATTATTTAGAAGACAATAAATAAATACTTTTTAATCATTTATTTTGGGTCAATTTATATTTATTTATATTGCAGAAATTTGTTATATTAATAATTTATTTCCTATAGATTTTATTAATTTATTGGTTTTTATATCATCTCCTATTATAATAGGAGTATAATTAATTATTAGAAGAGAATAACTTAAATATCATTTTGCTGTAAATCTTAAGGATTCAAAAAATCTAGAATAAAAATTAAGAATTATGTATGATTTGATTAAAATGACTTATTATAAGGATTGGAGAACATTTAAAAAACCTATTATTAGAACTCATATTTCTCTTTAATTACATAGTGTAGCAGCTAATCATTTAAGAAATTGTTCAGGTTATTAAATAGATGAAAGTTAAAGTTTACAATATAATTTTACTAGATAATGTTTTTGTAAACAATACTTTTAATATAGTGAATAGAAATCTATTACATTTTGGAAAAGAGATTTAGATCATGAAGCAGAAAAGAAATATTTTGCTTTTACTAATGAAAAATAATTTAAATAATTTTTATTTGATTTAATTAGATATTATTTTGAAAGATTTTTATAAAATAAATCAATAATGGAAAATAATGAATAATTTTCTTATATTTATTTCCTATTTTAAATATAAAAGAAACCAACAAAAGCATTTTATGAAGCTATGAATTTAAAATTTAAAGTAAAAAAATTAAATTAAAAGAGAGCAATGATAATTGAATAATTAATTTAAGATGCAAAACATAATTTTAATTAAATGATTGAAAAAAAAGATTTAAAAAATTAAAAATACAATTTTAAATAAGTTTTTGATTTTGATTAAAATCTTGATACTTCTAAATAAAACTTTTAAATTATACTTACAAATTATAAGAAATGGTATTATCAATTATTAAATTAATAATTATAATTATAATCTATTATAAAAAAAGGAACTGAATTATAATTATAAATTTAAGTCTTAGAAAAATAATTATCCTAATTATATTAATTAAATCCTGTTTCAACTGAATTAGATACTATCATTTATTTATTTTATAAATACTTAAATTTTAATATAAAAAGACCTAAAACAACAAAAAGAAATTCTCCATATGCTAACTAATTTGTATAATCAATCAATTAATAAGTATTTTAAAGAGATTCATGTATAATTTATATTTCATTAATGAATTAAAGAGGTTCAATATAAAATTATACTAAATCATTCAAAACTATTATTTTAGGTAATGATTCAGATATTAAATATTAAAATATAAAACATTTCATGCCTGATTCAATTGCTCAACATCATGATATGTATTTAGATAATTTTATTGAATTTGGTAGAATGAATATTGTTATGGCTGAATAAAGATTTTTAATATTAAAAAATAAAGAATCTTTTATAATTCCAGTTTATGCTAAGGTTAGATTAGAGAATTATTCAAATAGTGATTTTGGATCATCAGCATTAATCACTTAAATAAATTAATAGAATTATTATATAGTAATAAGTAAATTTGGAATGTTGGAAGAAATATCATAAAATTTTTATGAAGATATTATAAAGAAAACTTTTAATTGTCCACCTACTTAATTGAAGAATTTAAATTTTCTTAGAATGATGCCATGTTTATTAAGAGATTTATAGAAACTTGAATAAACTTAAAAAAATAATACTGAAATTGATTTTGAATTTTTATAATAGAGTAAAGACAAAATAAATTATGATATTATGAAAGAAGGACATATTCTAATACCTAGATAATTTAATTTAACTGAATATATATAATTACTTAAGACTAGTGTAATTGGTGATGCTCAAACATATTTTATATAAGAATAATAGAAATGTCATCTTTATTATTAGAATGTTTAACATTATTATATATTTTATGTAAAATATAAAATAAGATTAATGAAGACTATAAATTCATTACATATAATTTTAGATATCTAAAATCTTAAGATGATAAAATCTGAATAATAATAAAAGGTTTTAAAATTAGTTTAAAATCTTTGTAATATTGATGGTTAACCTATTACAAAATAATAATAAACTCCAAAAATAAATTATTTTAATTAAGATTCTGAATATAAGGAAAACTTATATAAAGATAATTTTGATTTATTTAGAAAATCTTAATCATCTGAATTTTTAGAAAAGAAATATTGTGATATAGATTAGAATTTAATGATAGAAGATGATGTGATGATTACTTAAAAATAAAGAAATATTGAAGATTATAATCCATTTTCAAAAAGAGAATAAATATCATTAACTTTAGATTCAAAATCAAAAGATAATCAATAATTATTATAAATGGAATTTGAAAATTCAAAATAATATTAAAGATAAAATAGTTTCTAATTAGTATCTAAAAATCATATAGAAGATATGGATATTTCTAATAAGAATTCTAAGGATTCAATTGATTCTAGTTCTGATCATAAAAGTAATAATTAAATTGCTATTCATTAAAATGATGGTGGTAGTTCAATTGGTAGTTCTTAATAATAATCAGATTATCTTAGTAAAAGAAGAATGATTAAAGATGTTTTATATTCAGATCATCAATTCTAAAATAATACAACCAAATAAAGTATATTAATCTTAGGATTACTTTTATTAATAATTGTATATGTTCTCAATCTTGTATTTATAATTATTACTTAAGATGTATTTTATTCTATATAAATTAGAAATTAATTTTGATTGAAACAAATAAACATGTTTCCAAAAATATTGAATGTTCTTTTAATCTTTTCATTTTATCAAATTAATATAAATAAATATTGAATTAAAATGAAATAGATGTATCATGGTATAATTAGATATAAAATATCTCAATTAATAATTACTAATAATATTTATAAGTCATATTGAATGAATAAAATAGTATAGTAGAGTAATCAAGTTTTAATTAATAATGTATATATTTTATATATTTAAGAAAACATAATATTTAAACAAAATAAATAGACACTATTATTGGATTAATTATTCATATATAAATTGATAGGTTAATAAATGGTTGATTATATTAAAAATGATGAAATTAATAATAATAATAATAATAATAATATAGAATTTATAATTGATAATTATTTGATAATTATTAATGAAATGTTATCAAAATTTAATACATCAATTACTTATAACATTAATGAATAAATTGATTTTATTTATACCGAGCATTAATTAACTATAATATTATCAGAAGTAACATTAAGTTTATTAGTAATTATATTATTACCTGTATTTTTGGTAATCAATAAATAAAAGAATACTATTTTATAATTCTTTACTACATTCCCATAATCAGAATTATAATAATAATTTGATGTTTATTAAATATTATTGGATAAATTAGAAGAATCTAAATTTGCATAATAAGAAACAAATCAATATGATATTGAAAGTGTTCACATTAAGAAGTTTGCCAAAACTATAAAAGGACTCAAAGATTCCAATCATAAAAAATAATAACATGGAAAATTGAAAACCATTATTGGATCTAGTAAACTTATTTATATACTATATAGATGCCACTCCTTTAATAATATTTAGTATCTTTTTAGTATTACTATTATTTTCAATAGTATCAGCTTACTTTATAACTTCATATATGATTAAATTTTAATTTTTAAATGAATTTCAAAGTTACTTTTAATAAAATACAATTTATAGCACTTTATAAAATGAAATTTTAAAAGAAAATTCCATCTAAAATATTATTATAAATCATTTGATTAATTAAAAAACAATAGATATAAATGATAGTACAAGTAAATTTTTATTATATAAAATAGTCTTATAATTGATATAGTATTAATAAGAAAATTAAAATATTGCATTAATTTATTATTCATAAGAATTAACAGATATATTAAATAATGATGAAACACAAATATTTGAAATATTGTCTAATAACTTTTGTGCCATCTTTGATAGTCTATTAATATAGCATTTATCTAATTAATAATTTTTAGAGTATTTCTCTTATGAAATTTGTGAATCATTTGGTAATTAATAATCTGGAGTTAGTGTTACTTTGGCTAATTTTATCAATCAAATGAATTAATTTTATGAAACTCTATCAATTTTTTAATGTATATATATATATATTAAATTAATTAGAATCAAATTTAGATCCTTAAAATTTAAATTAGGAAGTATTATTATTGTACAATAAAGAATTATAAGAGATATTTATTTATTTAACATTTGTTCTTCAAGTAATATCTGATTATGAAGATTATTAATTAAAAAATAGTATTGATAGTCATTTTGTGACTTAAATAATCATATTTGTGGTTGGAGCTACTTTTGTAAGTGTTTTTACTTTTATAACAGAGAAATGTTTCAAAAATTTAATTTCTAATTAGATTAATTAATCAAAATTATTATTAACTTTAATTCCATTTGAAGTATTATAAACAAATGCTTATGTGATGACTTATGTATTACAGGAATCTAAGAAAATATATTTGTGATAATATTATTTATGTTTTTATTTAAGTTACATCAATTTATAACTATATATAAATATTGACTAAAATTATATTTATTTAAGAGCCTATTTTAATTGATATCAAATAATCATCTTTATGTTTTAAAGGATTTATTATAGAATCAATCAAGAAAATAAACTGAATAGGATTTCTTTATATTATTAATATAGAGTATCCAAAATTATTAGATAATTTTTCTTGTTAATTTCGAACAGTTCTAAATAAATAGATTTTTAGGTAACTAAAAAAGTGAATATTAAGAGTTTTATTATATTTGCTGAATGAAAATTTTGTTTATTTTGTAAATGTTTTATATATGTATGAAACATTATTTAATTATTTGATGTTTTCATCGATATCGGTTTCTCTTTAAGATTTAAGGGGTTAGAGAATAATTTCTACTAATGGCATATCAAATTATCGAAATTTTTAAAGAATGCCGATTACTAAAACAAATTATAAAAGATAATACTTATAAGGAGCATCAAATAGGGTTAAATCATTAAAAGAGGAATCTAATTTCATATAATTATGTAGTGATAGAAAAGATAACGAGAAACAATTTAAGTTTAATAAACAAAGTTAACTACTAAATTATAGGAATTTTCATTTGCATAAATAATACCCACTCACTTAAAGGGAATAATAAAATGAAATTGATAGTTCAAATAAAATTAATAGTGGAAAATAGATGTTTAAAAACTCATCATTGAAATTGATAACTGATTCTAATAATCAATTAATTGAATTAGTATGTTCATCTGAACCAGTTATATAAAAAAATAAAAAAACTAATTCTATTTCTAATGTTCAAAAAGTAGAAGAAAGAATAAATAATAATAATAATAATAATAATAATAATAATAATAATAATAATAATAATAATAATAATAATAATAATAATAATAATAATAATAATACTAAGAGAATATCATCTGCAAATAATCATCTTTAATTAATAATTTCGTCAACAAATAATAAAGAGGATTTATTAATTAAAAGTACCCAATCTACTCAAAATTATATATCAAAAGTTTTAATTAAAGAAAATAAACTAGATAGAAGTTTGAAGACTAAAATACCAACTTCTTTTGTTGGAACAAAGAAATTTTTAAAGTAATTTATTTGATATTAATATATCTCTATTATAAATGTGAAGTAAATAAATAAATATTATTTAAATTGTATTTTATTGTTTTTACTCTCAAATATATACAATATGAATAATTGATTATGTATATAACTTTATTTTTATCTGAAAGTCTAAATTATTGATAATAATAATTTATTAATATATATATATTAAAATGGCAACTGCTGACATTATTGTATTTAAATTTTACAATATAGATTGCCCATGGTATGCCTTCAAAAAAGGAAGTGATAAGCTCTAAACGAATATATCCAGGTATTTTCGAGATAGAATGAATTAGAGCAACATAATAGAAAGGGTGCAATACAATTAACTTGGGATGTTTAAGGTGTTTTTCCAAAGATTGCTCAAAAGATAGGAGTATAACCAATAGCTGATGATCCTCCCTTAGTATTTAAAATAATTAAGACTTAGCCACCAAAACCAAAATATATTCCACCTCCATTACCTCAGAATTATGTTCATCCTCCAATAAAAAAACAAGGAAAGAAGACAGGGAAACCATTAATAGTAGCTGAGAAATAAAGTTAAGAAGAGAGTATTGCTAAAAAAACAATCAGATAGAGCAGATAGTCACTTTCTAATACAAATTATGGAAAAGAATATGGTGGTTTTTATAGTTTGGATAGATGTTTTTTGAAACGTGATAAAGAATTCATTAAAAAAGAAGTTAAAGGATATGGTAATTATGATATAATAGAATTGCAGGTAACTTCTATGAGAAATCACCTGAAGGAAGATTTATGCATGTTCCATAGCCTCCATTATCATACAAGTATTAATATGTAGCTTCAACAGAATTATGATAATATATTAATATCGTTTATAAAAAACTTTAGTATTTTAATGAAAACCTTAATAAAAAACAAAAAGATATTTTATTTTAACATCTAATTTTTTTTAAATCATCTCATGCTTCCTTTAATGTGTGCTACACCATATGTCAATTACCCCTAACTCAACCTTTAATAATTCTATATGCTTCCTACATCAACGTATGCTATGCCAATCCCAATGAAAGAAACTTGTGATTAGGCTTGTTAGTTTCCTGAACCTATTATTGAATAAGATGCTGTAACTAATAATATGGAGATTATTGCAGAATAAGAATTAACTTCTTTGTTAAGATTTCTCTCTAAGAACATTTCTTTACTATAAGACTCTGTCTTTGAAGAGTTTGTATAAGAAAATTTAAAAGTATTTCAATTTTTGATTAGTTAGACCCTCTCCTCATTTTCTAAAGACATACCAAATATGATCAAAAAGCGCTATGTTTAGGTTAATAAAACAAAAGAAGAAATGACTAAGTTTATTATAAGAAGATGTTTTCTATTCATTAAAAGTTAAATTGAATATGAAGAAAAAGAGGGGATGTCTGCTGAAGAGAGAGATAGACTATTTTATCATTCATTTTTTTCAGATGATAAGGAATTTATGAAGAATCTTAATCAAGAATCAATAGATGACATGATTCCATTTAGAAAAGACTCTAAAATGAAGACTATGAATGAAACTTATTTAAGAAAACTATTTGCATCTGAAAGATTTTCTAATTTCTATAAAAAATTTCTATGTAATAAAAATAGTAATATTTTTAGAATCATTCACTGAAATTTGTAATCATGAAAATGATGAAAAAATAGATAATATGACTAAACAGATTATTAAAATTATAATTACTAGAGATTTTGCAGTAATAATTTATATTATATTATATTTAATAGAAAATAAAAAGTTACAGACGATTCCCTTGGAAAGATCATGAAATCATTAAATGTGAACAAAGAGCTAAAGAAATCTACTCCAAATATTCTAATTATTCAAGTAATTAATATAATATATATTTCTAGAAGCCAATACAAAGAATAAGTTTCTTTCAAAACTAGATTCACATACACTGGACATTTTGGAAAAATTCTCTGAATCTTCAGAATGAAATATATATATATATGCAACAAAAAAAATATTTATCAATATATTATTTAATTATATTATGAATCAATATTTGGCCACTCATGACTCAAGTCTAAACACTTCTTTGTCTAAATAAAAGTATTCATTCCCAAGAGCCATAAGAGAACCCATTCATAATAAATCAGCGTAATCCTCTTTCTTGATTCATGTAGAACCAATGAATTAAGTTACAAATTGCCTTAAAACTTGGGAAGCAGAATGGCTGGAATAGGATATGGACAAAAGTATCTTAAATTCAAATATTTAGACATGATTTCTCTAAAGATGCTAAACCAGTCCCAGCACCAAATTTATATGAAATTTAATCGTTTATTGAAAATAATATCGATAAAAAGAAGGGACCCACATTTGCTTATAGTAGAGATTAAATGAAAGCCCATGGAATTTGGGGTTCTTTGAATTAGCTATCTCCAGGTCCTGGTAGATATGCTTCAACCAAATCCCTTATAGATTCTAAATTCACCTTTGGACTCAAACCAGGATCATTGAAATAGTTAAATACTCCTGGTTGTTATATGTGATTTATTTTTAGGACCTGGAAGTTATGAAGCCATTCAAATAACAAATCAAAGAGGAAATTAATTCATCTCAAAATTCAGAAGCTCAGGTGCTGCCATTATAGGCAAAGATGAAAGCAGATTTAAAACATTATAGAGTTTCAAAATTATTTATCAATAGCTATGAATAGTTTTCCTGAACCAGCTAGTTATGATATCTCGAATACAGGAATTACTGGAACAGGATTTTGTCCTAAAAATGGATTAAAATCTACAGTCTAAAATTCATTTCCAAAAGCCATAAGAAAAGGACCATTCGATTTAGGAGCTTAAAGTCCTGGCCCTGGAAGTTATAAAGCATATTCAGAATTTGAGTGATTTTAATATAGACATATTAAGTTAAATAGAATAGAAAGAATAATATGATATGTTTTGTAAATGAAATAATTCTTATGATTAAAGTGAATAAAATTGGTTGATATTCAAAATTTAGTTTTTCCTGTTACAAATAATATTAATTATAAAAATGGGAATTTGTTCTAGCTAAAGTCAAAAAAATCATGAGAAACCAACTGAAAATAAGAAATTTGATTCAACAAAAGAAGAATAATAAAAACCGGAAACTTTGACATAGAATAATTAATAGAAACAAGATAGTAATTGAATTGTTATATTGTCAAGTTTAAGGTGACACCGGAGGTCTTGTTATCACAAGTGCCAAGATGGGAAGAATTACAAGAGATTATACACTTCTTAATCCTCCACTTGGAAGCGGTATATACTAAAATTAAACTATAATAGGAGCATATGGGGAAGTAAGAAAAGGAATACATAAATAAACAGGTATAATAAGGGCAGTAAAAATAATACACAAGTCATAGACAACAAAGGAAGAGTAAGAGAGATTGATGAATGAAGTTTAAATTCTATAAAAGCTAGTAAAATTATTAAAAGAGTTCATAGGATCATCCTAATATTATAAAAATCTATGAATTTTATTAAGATGATAGATTTTTTTATATTGTTACAGAATTGTGTACTGGAGGAGAATTATTTGAAAAGATTAGATATGAAGGTAGTTTTTCAGAGAAGAAAGCAGCAGAAATTTTGAAATAAATCCTATCTGCTGTAAATTATTGTCATTAAGAAAAAATAGTACATAGGTAATTTTAATAATTTATTGAATCAGAGATTTAAAACCAGAAAATTTACTATATGAATCTGAGAAAGACAATTCATTATTAAAAATTATTGATTTTGGTACTTCTAGAGAATTTGATGTTAATTAAAAATTGAACTAAAAATTAGGTACACCTTACTATATTGCTCCTGAAGTATTAAATAGAAAATATGATGAAAAATGTGATATTTGGTCATGTGGTGTAATATTGTATATATTATTATGTGGGTATATTATACAAAATAGATTAGGTTTCCACCTTTTGATGGTAAAACTGAAGAAAAGATTATGGAAAAAGTAAAGAAAGGCACTTATTCATTTGAATCAATAGAATGGGAAGATGTTAGTAAAGAAGCAAAAGAATTTATAAAGAAATTATTGTAATATGATCCAACAAAGAGATATAGTGCTTAATAAGCATTATAAGATCCTTGGATTAAGAAATTCACAAATGCTGCTGAGGTTGAATAACCTTTAATGAAGAAAGTATTGACAAATATGAAAAATTTTAGGGTATTTATAATTGTATTAATATAGTAACACTAAAAATTGTAAGAAGCATGTTTTAAATATATTGTTAATCAATTGGCAACTAAAGAAGAGAAATAAGAATTATTAAGAACATTTCAATCTTTGGATACAAATAATGATGGTAAATTAAGTAAATAAGAATTATTGATTGGTTATTAAAAGATAATGAATGCTGATTAAGCAATAGAAGAAGTTGAAAAAGTATTTGCATAAGTAGATAAAAATAATTCAGGAATGATAGATTATACTGGTATATATAATTATTATATATAATTAATTATTAGAATTTGTAATGGCTACAATAGATAGATAATAATTATTATCAAAATAAAGATTATAATTAACATTTAGAATGTTTGATGCAGTAATATATAATATATAAATATAATAGGATAAAAGTGGTTCAATAAGTTTAGATGAACTTAAATAAATATTTGGTGGAATATCAGAAGAAATGTGGAAATAAGTTGTTTAAGAAGTAGATTAAAATTAAGATGGTTAAATTTCATTAGAAGAATTTTGTGCTATGATGAAAAAGATTGAATGAATCATTAATATTTATATTCATAAAATCATTATCATACACCAAAAATAAATAATTATTAATAAATCATCTTACATCTTATTTTTTCAATTATGATTATATGTCTAATCAAGAATTTTAATGTTTTAAATAATGTTTAGAAATTTTATTAAATTAGGAGGCTGCTTAGGCTTATTGAGTTCATCAAATTTATTATGCAATTAAATAAAAGATAAAAATTAAGATGACCAATTACCTCATTTTCATTTTC